GTTACATATAATATACAGTAATTACTTTTAAAAATTGAAACTTTGCAGGAGCACATTGAATCAGTTTCTTGACAACTCCCAGCATAACCTGAAACTTGGTTTTGGTGGGAACACCAGAAAACATTGCTACCAAACTGTCACTCTTTTTACAGTAGGATAAAGCTGAGCAACGGGGTTACAAAACACGTAAAAATTGCGAGAAAAAAAACAAAACGGAGGTAAACCACATATATTTCCAAAAACTAGGAGTATTAAGGAGTCCAAAAATAAATATCGTTGGGTCATTTGGAGGGGGAAAAAAAAATACCCCCCGGACTACCTAGGCGTGGAATGACCCTATAGAAAAAAGATGATGGAGAAGAAGAAGAAGAAGAAGAAGAAGAAGAAGAAGAAAAAGAAAAAGACAAAGAAGATGAAGAAGAAGAAGAAAAAGAAAAAGAAGAAGAAGAAGAAAAAGAAGAGGAGGAGGAGGAGGAAGAGGAAGAGGAAGATGAAGAATAAGAAGAAGACTAGGAAGAAGTAGAAGAAGAAGATAAAGAAGAAGAAGAACAAGAATATTGTAAAATGCGGAAAAGTAGAGGAGGAATAAGAAGAAATGAAGAGTCGGGAGACGAAAAGAATATGCTTCCAGGACTTTATGTCCACCTACCTTTCGTCAATGTCCACCGCTATTTATGTCCACTAAACGTTAAGTCCAGTCTTTATTAAGTACACAGGATTTAATGTCCAATCATGAATATGTCCCAAATTGTCCAAATTGTGGACATGTTATGTCCACATTTTTTTCTTCTCATTTAAATAACAGGGACCCCCTCAAAAATAAATGCATACTACCACTACCTTCATTCTTAAGAACATTTCATTCATGAATCAAGTCATGAAAAAGAACAGACTCTAAGAGCAGATAAAAACATATGTTCATGTGTACACTGTACGGATATGATGAGATGAAAACCAAGCAGGAGCCTGTCAGATGCAGTCAAAATTGAAAGTCCTCTTTAACTAGTTATTTCGTGCGCCTTCAAACTTGTAGGATACAGTGCAACGCCTCTGACGCGAAATAGTTGTTTAAAGCGTTGCGGCGCGGCAGGCAACCAGCGTGACACGCGCGTAGGCGCCTACAAACCTAACGGGATACTACGCGCGTTGCGCAGTGCGTGAAGTATCCCGTTAGGTTTGTAGGCGCCAGTGCGAATTCTGCGCTGCTAACACGCCGCTCCGCTCTGTGTTAGGCTCTAATATTGAAACTTGCGGAGTCAGCGTGTTTCAACTCATGATTTTGAAATGTTTGCACTCTCTGCATTGATTATTCCCTTTTAAACTGATGAAAAAGAAATATGTACTACTGGAAAATATAATGTGTTTTTTGTAAATATAATAGTGGTTCCGTGTCAAATTTAATGATTTCCAAAGCATTCAAATTTATTCTTTTATGTTTTGGACTGTGCTGCAGCGTGGTGTAAGTGCAACCAAACGCTCAAAATTGGACGTATTTGACTCAAGAAGGTCGATGTACAAATAAGTTAAAAACAAAAACTTGATTGCTTCTTAGTTTTTTTCCTCTTTTATTCAATTTTGTATAGTTTCTTTCATCACAACCACGGCTCATTGAGATTCATATCGATGCCATTGCTGGGAAAAGGTTTTACAAATATTTACCACGTTTTAAAAATGTAAATGTTTTTAAAATGAAGTAATCAATTTCATTTAAAAAAAAAAAAGAATGTACATATTTTATATCGGAAATTTCAAGGATAGAAATGAAACTAAGTATTTACCAAAGACAATTTGAAAAGATGAATCAAAAGAGGAAATTAACATTTCATTTAAAATATGAGTTACGATAACAACACCTCATTCTCTTTTAATTTTCTCATTTCGATATTGTCAATATAATTTTACACACGGACTAATATAAGACGCTTGAATTTGATTTTAGTGGACTTTACATTTGTGGACATAACTTAGTGGACGTTGAAGTAATGGACTAAACAATAGTGTGGGCTTTATAACTGTGACCGTAAGAACATAGAAGTGTACCAAAAATATAGAAAAGGACAAATTAGAGGAGAAAAACTACGGAAAATGAGGAGGAAGAAGAAAGAAGAGGGGAAGAAAAAACTCAGAAATAATAGGAAGAATAATCACCATGATTTGTCTGCGTAGTAACATTAAAAGCACATATATTTTTCAAATGAGCCTTTCTGCTGATTGCAGAATATAGTGCACAATACGGATGAAGGAATTAAACCGTCTTGCCTCCACAATTTCGCCTGCGATATTTAATTAAGTCGTCTTTGCTCTAATTTGCATTTTCATCTGGCCCTGTCTCGGGAAAGTTTTCACGCCCACGTGTGACGTTGTTTCAAAACGGGTGACACGTGGGAAGTCAAGTCCCTCCCTCTGAAGCCGGTCTCTGTCAGCAGTTTCAGCAATCCAGAATGCAGGCCCTACCCGCCCCCGCCTTGACGTCGCAACGTAATTAAAATGCACCTGTACCTGAAACGTTTAAAAAGAATCATACAAGTCTCCAATTTCTGCCATGCTCAGTAAAAACGCCGTATGAGCATTCAAATGTTGCCAAATTTCCTCTCTGAAAAGATTTAGTTTTGAAGAAAGTTATGAATATTATGTTTCCTTGAAATTCTCAGACTTTTTAGATCAAATTTTGAAGAAAATACTCTGAAAAATCGGAAAGGAAAATATTTAAAAATTTCCTGAAAACTTGTAATTTGTCGAAGGAAATTTGGCAACGGCTGATGGCTCATACGGCGTTCCTCCTCAGCACGGCAGAACTCTCCGGTCTCCGCCCTCTCAGGGAGAGGGAATTAATCTTGGAGACACTCAGGATTCAGGACTCACGCCAAAATCCCAGCTCTACTTATTGTAAAATGTATTACATTTCTTTTTCTCAAGAAGGAACATGTTACGGTTAATGCACATACTGCGTTTTTAATACAGCGGAAATTTTTTTGGCTCGTTGGTGCCTGAGATCATCACGAAAGAGTAGTTTCACTCAACTTAGAGGTCCGCGTAAAATGGTAAAATAAAGTAGTTTTCGGGGGTCTTTTTCAAAAATGTTCCGGAAGAGGACCATGAATCTACTTTCCTCTGGAAGGCAGACGGCCCTCTTCGGCTGACCAAGCCCCCCCCCCCCCCCCCCCCCNNNNAAAAAAAAAATCCTGGCTACGTACCTGGCTCTAAGTGCATTGAGCCAAAGTATACGTGAATGCCTTTTCTATCACCAAGTTTGTTGCAAAACATACGGACCAAAGACTAGAGAAGATTGTATTTTGCTGTGGAAGCCGTGATATAAACAAATGAAGGAGAGAGTCACCTTTCATGGAGAAATAAATCTACATCAACGATTTGACAATGGTGGTTCAAACGCGGGGATGCAAGGGGTAGTCGGGACCCAGACTGGCACGACGAATAAATCAAGGAGCAAGTTGGCTCCTCAGCCAGAATAATGCCAGATTTCATCGTTAAATCCATTATTTTACCGATATTATGATAATAAAATTCGGTAAATTTGACATCTCAGCCGTAGAGACACTCGGGTCGGCTCTAATGGCTTTATCCATTTCTTTCTGCAAACAACGCAGCTTTGCCTACAATCTTCAAATTAGGCAACCAACTAATCATCACCATCACCGAAGGGACACATCGTCCCGCATCCTAACAGCGTTGCCAAATAATGAGTGGGAAGAGAAACGAGAAAGATGTAGAATAGTGGCATCAGCGTGAAATTTTTTACCTATTTGGAGCACAACAAAAAAGTTGCTTTCTTTCACAAAGCTTACACGAACGACTTGTGAGCTCGCCTTCAATTTCAGTGTAGGCAACACGAGCTCAAAGGTGGTCGAATAGTGGTATCGTTTTGAATTGGCAAGCTCAATTGGGATACACCCGTTAAACGGCTTGGTACCAAGGAAGAAGACGTTATTTTAACGTCATAAAAGTTCGCCTTCAATCTTTAGTGTAGGCAGCACGAGCTCCTACGTGGTCGAATAGTTGTATCATCCCCCTTACAGTAGTCAGACTATCTCTATCGCCGAATCGTTGCAGACACATGAGAGATAAAAAGAAGGAAAGAGATGAAGGAACAGGAAAAATGGAAGGAAAAAAGAGAGAGCATAAGAAAAGATGAAAGAAAGTGATAGAGAGTATTAGAGGAAGAGAATTTAGTCGGCCTGGTTTCGTTTATGGTTTCATTTAACGATTATTATTTCATCAGTAATACAACAATATTTTTTTTTAGATTTTAGCGGCTCTGGTGCTTGCACTAGAGCTGCTATTCCGGACGGTCCCAGCTGGGGAGTATCAATGCAGCATGTTACATTGTAGAGACCGCGCGTTGGTTGATGGGAATCGGCGCCATTTTCGGCTATGTTCCTTGTCATGACTTTATTTTATTGCATACTGTTTTATTGTTAGTCAATGCTATGTTGTGTATTGTATTTTTGGAATCATGGTGATACAGTCAACAATTCAAAACTTGTTTGTGCTTTTATCTCGTGATGGAAAAAATGTACTTTACGTTCAAAATTTGAAAATTTGAATTTTAAAGTTTTCGCGGTTAAGGAAGCTTTAACCACTGGGTTGGAGCTTCCTAGTCATATTACTTGATATCAGCTGATAGCAAACAAAGGTTACCAGGGAAACCGTAAACGTCTAACAACTATCGTGGCCATTGGGGCGATTATTGAAATGATATCGACTGTATGTCGCCGCTTACGACAGGACATAGCCCTATCTTAACTGTGTAATATATCGCAATTCGATATTGTTTTGATTTTTAAAAGGAGCAATTCATTCATACAGTTCCGATTAGTTTTGGCGAACGGGCCCTTAACCTACGGCACTCGGCTCATGGGAATTTTTTAACTTGTCCTGGACGGACTCGTCTGTAGCGCCTCGTTCTTCGTTGTGTGTGTGATTTCGTGAAGAAGTTTCTATGGCAATTTGCTTTTATTTGTGAGCTGTTTTTTCACGGGATTTTTGAATGTTCTGTACGAATAAATTCGGTGAGTACCTCATTTATCCCTCCTTCCAGTAAAATTATTTCAACTTTTCCTTCTCCCTCATTCTGGACCCACTCATGGGCTGATTATTTTCTCATTCTTGAAACTTTAGACTGGCAATTTCTATGCACAATCTATAGCTCATTAACCTATAGTTCAAGAGTTCCTCACTAGTGTCTTGCTCTTCTTTTTTATTTTTAAAGCCTCAATGTATTTATAGAATTTCAAAAATTTAGTTTTTGAGTTGACTTAAAAAATGTAGAAAATATAATGCTGTTTTAATTTTCATTTCAGGTAATGAGTCGACGCAGTCAAAGAATAATTCAGAGGTAAGAAATCTGCTTTTACTCAATATGTAAGTGTTAGTTGGTATGCAAAATTGAGGAATGTTTTGAACATCTATACGTTTGATAAGACCATTTTAGGAGTTAATATTTTGAATACCTAATATTTAGTGGTGGCTTAATTTGTTAGTAACCAGAAGTTGTGTGGTCTTCTTGAACTGTAATTTGTTTTTCAATGTCCTGGGAAGTAACTGGATGATAATGTATCATTTTACTATCAGAAAATTTGTTTGCCAACTCTTAATGCGATGATAATAAGTAACAAGTTTGCAATGCTTTGCATTTATTATTTCAGTTCATGGCTATTGTTGTTTCACCTTATAACCAATTGTTTAATTTTCTTGTCATAATATGGCAATCAATAAAAAAATTTTAGCAGAAGCTTTATTAATCTACCTAAGAAACTCTCCATTTTTTGCTTGTTTCAGAGATACAGCTATAACCAAATGCAGAAACATTCCTGGTTTTGATGAATCCACCCCGATCCAAAACAATACTATATGCATTGAAACATCTGCACAATCGTATGACGCCGAGCCAAAGAAGGAAAAGAAAATAGAATCGAGTGAAACCTATGCACTGTAAGTAAAAATTTCAGTTAATTCTATTCTAGTTGCAACCTTGCGTTGTTATCAAGTTTATTGTGTGACTTTAGATGTTCCTCAGAAGGTGGTTTGATCATCTTAATTGCCCATTGGCGGCTTTCCAACTGGCAATACTGCAAATTAACAAAATTTCACCACTTAAAATGTTGTAGTTTGAGCATTAGTCTTGTGAAACAAAATTACACTTTCCAAAATCTCATTATGCATATTTGTTTTTTTACAGACGTGAGTATTATTATGTTTACTATTATGTTTACTATGCGGCTGTAGGTGCCCCTTAAATTGTGATTTAAGCATCTTAATTATCTATTGGCTGCTTTCCAACTGTTAATACTGCAAATTGACAAAGGAGGGGTATCGTTAAGGGCCTTTTTTGGGCCTACCCTGAAATTCCTCAACTCTGCGTTTTTTTGGTCATTGAAGGTCTATATTTTACGGAATGCATAATGGTTTGGTCATTTCCGATCTGTTTTGGGGTCTACCACAGGCCTAAACATGGGTCTGAAGGCCAATTTTGGCGAAAAATGCGGGTTTTTCAGCATTCAACGCGCTATTGTAACCGATCCTTTCGGAGGACAAAAAATTCCTTCAAGTATGTTCATTAGGGATGTAAGAGTGTCACTTTGGCCAATTTTCGTCGATGTCAAACTTTGCGCTCATAGTTAAAAAAAAACTTTTTAGAATTTTGTTCAACCCAAGTGGCATACATGTAGTAGAATTCCAATTTATTTTTAAAACAACCGATCTTATATTTTCCTCTACACAGGGTGAACGTTGCAAATGATATATCGAACAATGATTCTGATATTACGCATCCAGTAAATGAAGCAGAAAATTCATTCATCGAAAATCTTGAAACACATCAGTCGAACTCAAAGCCTAAAAAGAAGATAAAATCAAAGTCACGTGACTTATCGTAAGTACAAACCTGCAACTTTGTTTTTTATAAAAATAGGAATAATTTTAAATTAACTGTAAAGCTTGGAATAAGTATGCAATTTTTCTCTGCCAGGAAATGTGATAGTTTCAAGAATATACAATTTTTTTTCTCTTTTTTTTTATTTCAACAATGGGCAACCTTGACTTTTTGCCGATGGATTCGTTGGAACTCGGTTTCGGGTGTATCTGAATAGGAGGAAAACGATAAGCTGATAAAAAATAACCAAATTTTCAACTCTCAAACTATCAACTATCAACTATCAAATTTCAAACTATCAAAATTTCCAACAATGACAAAAATGCTTGTAATATACCTATAATGTAATGAAATATACACGCTCTAATCATTTAATTTGTATTACCTTTATGTTATGTACCTACATGTTATACTATTTTTATAATAAATTTTGCCAACATGCTTTTCAATTCAGTCTACAACATTTCATTCCGACGTGGCAATAATGATTTATAATGCCCCTAATCCATTAAAATGAATTACAATAGTAATGCCGCATTATAATGTCGTATTATACATCGCAACGATTCATGTCCTACTGATTATTGATTACTTATTGTAAGATGAATTCTGTTTTCTCTGATTGTATGTTTCATACGTGCGAAGCAAGTACGGGTCACTAGAAACGTGGTTCGTACGGGTGGCTGATGAAATTGATCTTCGAATACCTTTTGATGAGCTAGGGAAATGAAACCATCTGCATCTCATGGACAATAAATAGTTGCCGTAATTAAGGTCATCCCGTGATTAAGGTGCCGTGATTTAAGTCATAAATTCTTCATCTAATTCTTGATTCATCTCCAAAATGTCTGCTAAAGCTTTCATGCGCTTCTCCTTGTATGCATGAATGAGCAAATTGGGTATCGAACAAGCGGACACTTTTTGAAAATTTAGATGATTCTGGACAATATCGTACAGAAGTCCACGAGCTGCAGATAGAACCATTACCTCTAGCTCATCAAAAGTTATTCGAAGATCATTCAACAACCTCTTTGACAAGTTGCAAAAACTTTTCGTTAACAATAGTGTCACACGGTACTAGGAATATTTACTATTTAACGAACCTTATATTTCCCTGACTCAGTCCTAAATTATAGAAGTATGCGTTACTTTTCCAGCAATCCAAAAAAACAATTATACAAAAAACCAATACCTACACTTTCAGATATAAAAATGCAAATTTTTTGCAGCCTCGCTAAACGACTTATCAACCAGGGATTTTTTAGGAAGCGGATCTCCAAAGAGCTTTCAAAATTAAAAGTATACAACAAGTGATAATGCCATGTATTCGCCATATCAAAGCCCAATACACATTTATACACCGGCTACGTAAATCTGCTAATTGTAAGTTACAAAACATGAATCGACAGTTGTCGGATTGTACATCAATGACAAAATGTGTCTAGGCCCTCATTCTTGACTACAACTACTGCCCCCAGAGCCGCTCTCCGACGCCAATGCGTTGGAGCTTCCTGCTTGTTTTTTTTACACTTCATGACGGTGAGGTTTATGTAATTTTAACTGACAATTTGCAATCGCTTTTGAGTAAATAAATATATCATAAAACGAAACTTTGTAACGTTGCAATGCTATTAAGTTTCGCTGTAACTCCTTCATTCGTGATAAATCATAAACTCCAAATTAGGATTGACATTTTTGGGAGTTTTCCGAGCAATTGATTTCGTAAAAATTTTCGTTTAGGGTAGGGTTAGCAACGGCTCAATTTTTTATTTTTTGTGCAAAGATCCAATTCCTCTCGAATGGATGAATATGAGAATATTATCACTCGGCAAATTCTTTAGAAGAGCTTCCTCATTTATGTAAATCCTTGGTTTCCACCTTAAACTGGCAGATGCTTGGTTCTTATTCCAACTACCCTTCTCTCCATCTCATTGGCAACTTTCCCTGAGACTAGTTTTCTTGACTCCTCGTCGCTAATTACACTTTTAATTTATGCGCCCTTTTCCCCTCGTTAGAAATTTGCAGAGCAATTCCTGTCACGGGGAATGTTCCGTCATTGTAGCCAGGAACAAGCGAGATCCCTTCAAGTGGGAAAATCATTTCATTGTCCCTGGGTTTTTTGTTCCGTTTTCCAAGCTGAGTTTCCCGAGGGAAAAATCAACTTTGAGAAAAAACTGCCACGCCTCCTGTTTAATTTTTTTTCTTCTCTTGTCAGTCGTTTAAATGTGGATGGCGAGGAGTTCTCGAAGAAACGGTGAAACATCGGTTATTAGGTGACGAGATAGGAGTCACCGGATTATAATACGTGTTTTCGCGATTTCAAACTTGCGCAACATGGAAAGGAACAATGTATCGGCCTCAACTTTAATCGCTTTTACTGAGCTTTGGAGTTTGGTCTAGAAAAAACTAGTGGCACTGCGTCGTGTTTCTCACGAGATTCAACATACAAAAAATGATGAGAGATATGAGAATGATGAGAATGATGAGAATGATGATGATGATGATGATGATGATGATGATAGGTGTTGAGTCTTGGTTTTCCACGGTGAGAGGGACTGGAAATATCGCGGATAATCCGGAGTTAGGCTATTGAGTCAGTGATCGTGGACACCGTACTTTGAAAGAACCTATTCAAACACTTGTCATGAATAAGACAAATATTTAATTTATATATCGTTGAAAATGAATATACTTTATAATAAAAGAGGTTATTTTGGAACGTAACATTACCGAAGGACATTTTTTGCAGAGGGTGCGCCATTGCATTGCGACGTTTTTTAGCTGCAATCTTTTCTATACGTTTGCAACGAGTTTTACTTAAAATGTCTTCCATTCATAAAAAAGGTACTGAAACAAAATATAAGAATAATCGAGAGGCGCATAATCCAAAGGCGGATAATCAAAGGTCGGATAATCGAGATTTTACTGTACTTTTTTTCATAAAGCTTCTGCATTTCTATATATGCCCTTTTATTAAAACCTATTAATTTTATTTAGATATGAATTTTAAATTTAATTTATTTGTTTTTAGTACTTTACTTCCAAAAATGGAATTCATAATTATTCGCATGTACATACTTATGATTCCGCAGCCCTTCGGCATGCAAGAGCTCCATTGTTAGCTAAAAGTCCTTCCCCGGAGGAAACCGGTTTTTCAATAAGCAACTCGTCTCACTTAAAGGCCCCGAATAAAAGTTGGGACACAATGTCGCGACTCACCGCGACGGATTAAAGCGAGCCGGGCGAATTTATTGAATTTGCGAGGGCGGGCGTGACGTGTAAAAAGTGCGCCAAAGCATTAACTAAAAGCCACAGTCGTCCGATAACTTTTTGCGCCAAGTTGAGTCAAAGTTCAACAACTGAATAATACATATTCGTGATAAAACTTGCGCGGCCGACTCCTCCACGTTCGGGTTGGGAAACGCTAGTTCCTCTGCGATATATCGATTGATCTGTCATTTAAACCTGTGGAAAAGGATCGATAAACAGGGTATACCTTGATAATCGATTCTTAACCATACTTTCAAAAGGGGAAATATCGATGATTGATCATTCAGGCTTTGGTAGTGGTTGAAACGGAGCTCGCTGAAATTATAGTCGCCCAAGTTTGTTTTTCCGCCAAGTTTTTGACGGCTTCTTGGGAGTTTATCCTGCTTGATACCGGCGGCGAAATGACGATTCCAACAGCTCCGATTGGCGCTAATTGCTCCTCGTGCAAAGTTCAAAGCTCCCCTTCACGGTTTTTGCACGGAATTTTTCCCTTCGAACTTTGACGCCGAGCTGGGCGGTTTTGAATCCGCAGCCGTCCGAGTGGGGCTCAGAGTGTTCCGGTTTTACTCTGCCGTTCGCAGCGAAAATTCCGCGACTCCATTCCGGAATTTTAATATTTGCGGATTTTCTCTGAAAAAATGCTTTACACTGTTAAATATTTCGGAGTAAGCTCTAGGGTGCGTTTCAGTCCGGAGCTTAATTTGCCCCCAGATGACTTAGAGTAATATGAATATAAGGAGTGGAATCCGCTTTCCGTAAGAACGGAGATATTTCCGCGAAAAAGTTGATTCCACTTGCCGGAAGGGTGAGCTCATCCCGCAAAAAAGGAAATTTTGCCCCACATTCATATCGATCCGGTTGTTCGAGAGCAATTACCCGGAATGGAATATGTACTGTCCGGATTTTACAAAAATTCCGGTTTTATTCTGTCGTGCAGTAAATATTCTGTAACTCCATTCCAGATTTTTATACTTCTCTGCGGAAATGCATTACACTGCTGAATTTGCGCAAGGTGGCATTTTAATGCGCCCTACTTATTTTGTTTCCAAAATTGGGTAAGTGAGGAGCGTGGGGCTACAAGAGATTCTGTGGTTTTGGGAACCTCAATGCAGGTTTCTCCGTCGCTACACACTGACTTTGAGTAACTTTACACCTCTCCCTGGTGTTTTGGTGGTGTGATTTTGACAGGATGAAAGGGTAATAGAGAGCTAAAAAGTGAATAACACAATAATTCACATGATCAGACGTAGTGCACACATGTACACCTGGAAGTAGGGCAAGGAAGAAGGAAAAAGGCTGAGATTGGTTCCATCGAAAGAACCCTTCACTCAGCTCAGCGTGATGATGATTTGACACACGTTGACACAGAAAGTTGCAAACATCTGCCTCATCTGAATTTCCATTTTTGTCACAACTGAGTAAAAAATACAAAATTGAATGCATTTATAAACATTTGTGTCCCCAAAAAATCCCCGTCTTGAATCTTATTTTTAAAAAAATTTAATCAGGAGAAATTTGGCAAAATTCGGATCTGCATGCGACGTGTTCTCTTATACTGCCGTGCTAAGGATGAACGCCGTATAAGCTTCCAGACGTTACCAAATTTCTTTTATTAAATACGAATTTGCAGGGAAACCTGTGAATATATTTCCTTAGAAGTTTTCAGAGAATTTCATTCGAGATTAGATCTTAAATACTTGAAATTTTAAAAGGTAATATTCATAACTCTCCTCAAAAATGAGCATTGTATCGCAGAAATTTGGTAACTCTCAACTATTTATACGGCGTTTTTCCTTACACTGAAAAAAAGATTGGTAGAATTTACCATTCATTCATTCACGCTGTATTTCACACAGCGTCAATTCAGAGTCAATTCTGCCAGAAGAAATAAGGTAATACAGGTAACCATTCCTCTGGCAGAATCGACTTTGAATTCACGTTGTGTGAAATACAGCGTGAGGGAATGG